CCCCCCGATTTCTTTTGCCCATCAATTAAAGTTGGTAAATTGACCCAGGGGACTCCCTTGGCCGAGCCTCACCATTTGCTACATCCGGGGGCGCTTGTTCGTCCGAATTGATGTGCTGCGGCTTCGCCTGCTTGCGCCTCGACATGGTGCACCCGCATCGGGAGCGAAATAGTAGCAATTATTTTCTTCTTCTTCACAACAAATTCCTAGAGTTGGGAAATTACTCCCCGGGAGCGGAATGCGCATGTCAGAGTAATTATGATTATCAATAATGCATTGCGATTTATCATGGGTCCCTGACAGCTGATTGGCTTGAGGCCAAGAGCTCACAGATTATTCAAATAAGGTCCATTGATCAGGGGAGCAGAAGGGCACGCTGGGCATTGTAGTCTCGTCTTGGCGGGGGCTGCGGCTGGCTCGTGCATGTGATCGAAGCCTGGACAATTGCAAACACGCGAGGGAGGGCAGCTCGAGATTGGCTACTGCCTGATTGGATTATATTTCCCTTAAAACAAGCGGGTGGGGTGGGGAGGGAAAGACAGGCGAAAATATCCCGGATCCATCTTTGAAAGCAAACAAACAACCGGGCAGCCTGGGCTATCAGGAGAGAACAATACCTCTGTTATCTTACCTGATATATTTGGGAGGGGAAATGTCTCCTGCCTTTTTAAAGTAATTAACTTGTGTAAAAGACAGTTCTGGAAAACAGTGTAAGACTGGAGGAAACTTGAATTCTTCCATTTGTCAGGCAATCAGAAATACCCTTCCTCAGTCCAGTTCTGTGCAACTTTACTCAGAAGTAAGACCCACTGGGTTCAATTGCAATTACTCCTATAGGGCTGCAGCTATATTCAGTGTCCCGAGCATGGGGGGGGGGGGCTAGCTTTTGCACAGAGAGTGAGATTCTTACTTTTTAAATTAGTGGTATATTTAATGAACTCTGGATCTGTGTTTCTGTCTAAACCTTAACGTTCCAGTTTAGGGGAGAATTCATATCTAACTTCTTGAGTGCCGAAGATGCTTCATGCACATATTTATGTTTTATCTCACTTTATTCTCTTGTACCCCGCCTTTCTCCCCAATAGGGATCCAAAGCAGCTTGTATTGTTCTCCTGTCCCTCATCTTATCCTCACAACAACCCTGCCAGGTATGTTAGGCTGAGAGAGTGTGACTGGCCCAAGGTCCCCCAGTAGGTTTCTGTGGCACAAGTGGCATTTGAACCCAGGTTTCCCAGATACTGGTCCAGCATTCTTAACCACTACACCATGCTGGTTCTCAGTCCTAGTAATATCCCAATGATCCTTACAAAGAGCCCTTGGTAGGTCCTGAAAATTATCTTCACATTGAAAATGTGGGAGATTGAGAGAGAAGCGGCTAAGCCTAAAACCACCTAGACTGAGCAGAGATTTTGTGGTTCACAGTCACACTCTGGGATATCTCATTTCTTTAATGAATATTTGAGTCCAGTGGCACTTTTAAGACCAACAAAGTTTTATTCTGGGTATAAGCTTTTGTGTGCATGCGCGCTTCTTCAGATACATCTTTAAAAACATCTGAAGAAGTGTTGCGTGCACATGAAAGCTTATACCCAGAATAAAACTTTGCTGGTCTTAAAGGTGCCACTGGACCCGAATTTTGTTCTGCTGATTCAGACCAACACAGCTACCCACCTGAGTCTATCTTTAATGAATGTGCTACTGTTGCTTGCTCCTTTCCTTCTTCTGGATGCCTGACATACATGTTCCTTAGGTTACCTGCTTGTTCTTTAGCAGGGCTCCTGTGCCTTTATCAGTTGTATTACAGAGACAAATAGGTTCAACTTTTTTTTTTCCTTTTGGCAGTGCTGGAGAAAACTCCTGTTGAATTTCCCCCCACAGGGCAACTGTTAGTGGCAGAGGAGTTGTGTCAGTGGTAAAACTGACAAATTCCACTTTGGACATAATGTGGTGTAAACATTGCATGCTGCTTCTTATGTTTGAGAGAATAAAGCAGTTGGTATTGGGATGTGAGTTGAAATGCTTCTTCTGCCATGGACTCATTCTGTTGCCATGAATAAATCATTGTCTATTATCTATTCTGTTAAACAGATATTTGTACCCGCTTTTCTCATCAATGGAAACTCAAAGTAGTTGATGACCTCATCCTCCCATATTCCATTTTATCTTCACAACAACATCTGTGAGGTAGATTAGGCTGAGAGAACGTGACTGGCTCAAGGTCACCCAGCAAGCTTCAGGGGCAGAATGGGGATTTGAACCTAGGTCTCTCCCGGGTCTTAGTTCGATACTCAAACCACTACGCCACATTGGATTGGGCAAAACATTAAAGCACTCTGCATTTTTTTTAAAAAAGTGAAATGTTACAAGAGCATGTACATTTCAGTTATAGAGAATCTGCCAGTGAACTGTTTATCTTGGAAAGCTCAAAAGTGGTTTCCATGTTTAAATCTCCAATCTGAAAATTTTCCCCCTCCACCTTATTTCCACCCCCTAGCTGATCCACACTTCATTTTTAAACTTGGGTATACAAAGTACCCAATATGTCAATGGAAAATTCTGTGGAGGGCACCACCAGTTGGGAACAGCAAGTGATACAAATGCATTCGAAAGGGCTGACATTTCCTTACAAAAAACCACAGAAAAAGATTGACCTCCTCTGTGTTGATGGTGGGGAAAGTTGGTTGTAAGCCTGATAAACACTTGGCACATTTGCTATGCAAACTTTTCCATACTTAGGCCCATGACCTACAAGGCTAGCTAGATGATGCATAAACCAATTACTCCACAATGTTCTAACGGATTATTTAAAAATGAATTAATCATACTTGCTTCTTAATCAATGCATTCCACATATGCATTCCACTTAATCATACTTGCTTCTTAATCAATGCATTCCACACACAATGCATTCCAGAGTTGCCATTTCAACTCTGATACTTAAAAAAAAGAAGTAAACTGGTTCTTGGGAATGAATGCACCCCCACCCCCCGCATAAGGCTCAGATAAAACTACTCTACAAAGATAAAACTACTCTAAAATTTGAGAGTTACAACACAGGGATGCAATCTTGGAAATTAGTTTAGCTGGGATTCACAATACCACACAAGGTGGCGGCAGGGAAGTGGACTCAGGTTGGCAGCTTCAGTTAGTTTGATATCATAAATCTGGTTGAAACCATAAAATTTCTGAGATAATAAGCATGTCCAAACCCTTAAACTATACTTTTTTTTTCTTTTTAAAGAAAACAAACCTTTTCCCCTCTTGCACTGATATAATCAAGACAGACAGTCTTGCAAAAAGTGTTTCTGTGAGTGACAGTGTTAGATCTGTACAAAATAGAAATGTTCAACAGGGCATTCTTATAATAAAGGGATTAGAACCAGAGTACAGTGCAATAGCTCTGGAGGTGGCTTTTTACAAGTGAACAGGATTCCAGACCGTTGCAGTGTTTATTGCACTGTGTCACTTTGCTCTTACTGCATTGTCTTTTTCTATCTTTGTAACCCACTTTCTGTATGTCATGCCTTAGACAGGTTTTTTGGGGAATTGCTTTCTAATTCCACAGTCCTTGTGCTATTTGCATTGTCTGTTGGATGTCCTGGACTGTTTGACTGAGTTAGTTTTTTATATTTTGTAATCCTCCATGTATCTCAGTGATGGGGGGGGGCTATAGATGAAGTCAATAATAAATGAACAAACAGAGTCCTTGCAAACAGAGCTTTGCACAAACTCATGCAGAATGTGGCTGGCTGGGGTCAGTGTGGTGCAGTGGTTAAAGTGTCATAAGAACATAAGAACATAAGAGATGCCAATGCTGGATCAGGCCAAAGGCCCATCCAGTCCAACACTCTGTATCACACAGTGGCCAGAAATACATGGTGCCATCAGGAGGTCCACCAGTGGGGCCAGGACATTAGAAGCCCTCCCACTGTTGACCCCCCCAAGCACCAAGATGTCAGAGCATCACTTGCCCCAGAGCCCCTATCTATACCTTGTGGCTAATAGCCACTGATGGACCTCTGCTCCATATGCTTATCTAATTCCCTCTTCAAGCCGTCCATGCTTGTAGCTGCCACCACTTCCTGTGGCAGTGAATTCCAAGTGTTAATCACTCTTTGGGTGAAGAAGTACTTCCTCTTATCCGTTCTAACCCGACCACTCAGCAATTTCATGGAGTGCCCACGAGTTCTTGTATTGTGAGAAAGGGAGAACAGTACCTCTTTCTCTACCTGCGTGCCCAGAACTGCACACAGTATTCCAAATGAGGTCTCACCATTGATTTATATAGGGGCATTATGATATTGGCTGATCTGTTTTCAATACCCTTCCTAATAAAACCCAGCATAGCATTGGCCCTCTTTATTGCAGTCACACACTGTCTCGACATTTTCAGTGAGTTATCTACTACGACTCCAAGATCTCTCTCTTGATCAGTCTCTGCCAGTTCAGACCCCATCAATGTGTATTTATATTTAGGATTTTTGTCAAGTTGGGATCTGGGAAATCCAGGCCTGAATCCCCGCTCACACCATGGAAACTGGCTGAGTGACCTTGGGCCAGGCACACACTCTCAGCCTAACCTACCTCACAGGGTTGTTGTGAGGATAAAATGGAAGAGAAGGGAATGATGGAAACTGTTTTGGGTCCTCACTGGGGAGAAAGGCCAATAAAGAATTACAAATAAAGTAACTAACTAAATAAAGAATCCTGCGAAATGTTCCACAGTTCTTCGGACACTGCTAAAATCACAATATGGGGATGTGAGCAGTGCTCTTGATGTATTTAAGAGCACCTCTTAAAGTCCTCTTTTCTTGATCTCATTAATTTCTGCAAATGGTCTCTCACGGAGCCACTATAAGCTCTTTGTGATGTAGGGTTGTAAAGTTGCCAATTCCGGTTTGGGAAATTCCTGGATATTTTGGGGGTGGAGCCTGGGCAGGGTAGGGGAGGGACTTCAGCAAGATACAATGTCTTGGAGTCCGCTCCGTAAAGCAGGCATTTTCTCCAGGGGAACTGATCTCTGTTGTCTCAAGATCTATTGAAATTCTGGAAGATCTCCAGGTCCCACCTGGAGGATATCATTAGGATTGCCAGCTTCAGGGAAAGAAATCCCAGGACCTCAGCAGGGTATAATGCCATACAGTT